GGGAAATATTGTAATTTTCCCTTCAGCTTCAGTGTTATTTACAGGAAGATTTGACAGCTTAGTCTGCATTCAAGATTTGTTTGCGAAAAAGTCACAACTCAAAAGTTTGCAAGCTTTGTAACTCTTATTCATCTGGGATCCTCGTTGCTAATACTTACGACCATTTATTCAATGACCGTTTCATAGTTACCACAAGGGATTTACCAACAGTCCTCCCACTTACAACCGTTGTAGCATCCCCATGATCATGTGATCAAAATTTGGGAGCTTGGCAACCGGCATGTAGTTCTTGACTTACAACAATTCATTTAGTGACCGTTCAAAGTTACAATGGCACAGAAAAAAGTGAATCGTTTTTCACACTTACAACCGTTGCAGAATTCCCATGATTACATGATCAAAACTCAGGTGCTTGGCAACTGACTCATATTAATGACAGTTGTAGTGTCCCGGGGGTCACGTGATCCCCTTTTCTGGCCTTCTGTTTCGCTTAATGACTGTGTGACTGACTTAACACCTGCAGTGATTCGCTTAACAATGGTTTAACAGCAGTCACGTGATCCCCTTTTACGACCTTCTGATTCGCTTAATGACTGTGTCTCACTTAACATCTGCAGTGATTCGCTTAACAACGGCTTAACAACAGTCATGTGATCCCCTTTTGCGACCTTCCAAGTCAGTATCCGACAAGTAAAGTCAAAGAGGGAACTCAGATTCACTTAATGACCCTGTGATTCATTTAACAACAGCAGGGGAAAAAAAGGTGGTAAAATCAGGTGTGACTTGCTTAGCAATGGAAATGCTGACTTCAATTCTAGTCATAAGTTGAGGACCTGTACAGGATATAGACCACGGACCACCAGGTTTATAATACAAAACAGCAAAATTAAACTGCTTTCCAAAGGCAAAGACATACAGGCAGTCCTCGACTTACAACAGTTCATTTAGTGAATATTCGAAGTTATGACACTGAAAAACTTGACTTATGACAGTTTTTCAAACTATCATTGCAGCATCCCCAGGTTCATGTGATCAAAATTCAGAACATTCGGCAACTGACTCGTATTTATGACTGTCCCAACCAGGGTCACCTGGTCCCCTTTTGTGACTTTCTGACGAGCAAAATCAATGGGGAAGGCAGATTCATTTAACGACCATGTTACTAACTTAACAACTGCAATTATTCACTTAACAGCGGTGGCAAGAAAGGTCATAAAACAGGGCAAAACTCAAGCGTCTCCCTTAGCAACAGAAATTTGGGGCTGAACGGATGGACGTAAGTCGAGAACTACCTGTACTTGAGAATCCATCTCTTAAGAGGAGGGGAAAACGTTTTTTTCCTCTCCTATTTATATAATATTTATGCAAGAAGCCGGAGTTAAGATTAATTTGCAAGTCTATTAGCCAACCAATTAGCACCGCCTGTGTCACTTTTAGCGAAGCCTAAAGAGAATTTTAATAACTGCCAGCTTGAAGCCCAAGCGAAGATCAAACGCCCCGATTACAAATTGCCTTCATTCCCGTTTTTAGATTTAATTGAGAAACAAGGGCGACTGTAACTAAAGGAACGAACGCTGGAGGCTTTGTTTATGCACCAGCCGTTCTCGTATCTGACGCTCGCGCCTCTCTTCCTTCATCGGCCAAATGAGAGTTTGCACGGAGCCCCCATTGATTTGCAAACCTTCGTTTCCACCAAACAAACCAAGTTCCAAACACAGAAGGAGCCTCCCTCCTTTCTAACACTGATGTTGTTCCCTAATTGGGTCATGAGACGTCTGAAAGAAAATAACCCTGAACAGAGAATACCAAGGACACCTACAGCCTTCCTCCTCCTCCTCCTCCTCCTCCTCCTCCTCCTCCTCCTCCTCCTCCTCTTTGCAACCTCCTCCTCCTCTTTAGTACTACTTGGATCATTAAAGAAACACACCTAGCCCCTAGACTCAAGGACCCCCTCAATCTTCATCTTCCTCCTCCTCCTCCTTCACTCTCCCTTCCTTCCTCTCCTCCTCTTCCTCCTCTTTGCAACATACTCCTCCCCTCTAGCACTGATGCTGTTCCCTAGTTGGGTCATGAAATGTCTGGAAGAAAATCTGAAAATTCACTCTCTCCATCGTTCCTGGTCAACATAGGCTGCTGTCGAGAAAGAATAGAATATTCCAGAAATTCACAATTGACTGTCAACTTTTGGAAAAAAAGGAAAAAAAGGAGGTGGGGGACATTGAAAGACACAAATCACTCCGGTTGAGACTAACAGAGAAAAAAAAAAATTTTTTTTTGCAAGCTGTGCAATTATCACTCTTTGCGTTTCCAACGTCTTGTCACATATTTGGTAAATGTTCCTCTCTTAACTTGCAGGTTGTTGTAAATTGCCGGATAAGGTGTCTTTAAAGTAAAAACAACAACAACAACAATGCAAATCCTCTTGTTGTTAGGCACATAAATTTAGCTAATGGAGGCTTTCTAAATGCTAATTCAGCTGAACTTTCCTGGAGAACAAGCGACTCCATTATTGGAGATTGTTTCCGTTAAAAACGGTGGCCTCGCTCAGCAACTTCTTAATTCATCAATATAATGATTTTTTT